GGTTTAGGTTTTAGGGTTTAGAGTTCAGGGGTTTAGGGTTTGGGGTTTAGGGTTCAGGGGTTTAGGGGCGATAGGAATAGCAAGGCAATAATACAAATGGCAATCATAATAGTACGGTCTTATAGTACTAACAATAATCGTAACAGTATGGCCTTGATAAAGGTCATCGTCATAATAATAGCAATAGGATGAATAATGGTCACAACAATCTGGGTTCAGGTGTTTAGGGCTTTGCGTCGAAGGTTTAGGACTTAGTCCACACAATTCATACGAATTCCCTGTTTCTTGCAGGCTGCTGCGCGGGAGAACGAAAATAGAACCATAACTCGAGGCTCTGATTGATAAGCTCCCTTTCTGTAAGAGCCTCAATGTTACGGTTGATGATACAAATCCTGCATTACCGATAATAAGGAATAAACCATAATTCCCATGTAGGAACAAACGGGAAAGGGGTTGAATATCAATCATGGGCTTGTGCATTCTCGTCGGGTTTAGGGTTTGGTCCAGGCTCCAGGGCGCATTGTCTTAAGGGCCGGGGCGTCTAGGTTTGGAAGAATGATCTCGACTGACACCAATTGAAAGATTCGCGATAAAGAGCGACAGTTCTACAAAGGCTAGCAATGGGCAAGAAGAGTAGCAAGCATCGAGAAGCTGACAAAGACAGCAACGGAACCCTATAACCCCAAAGCCCTACAACTCTAAACCCCCGGAAAACCGTACACTTGGCCCTGAAACCCCTAGACTTGGGGTCTAAACTCCCTAAAACTCGGGGCCTAAAACCCTAAACCAGCTTGGCCCTACTCGGCCAACCTTCTAGAGCCCTATAATCCCACAACTCTCTATCCCTGCAAAAACCCTAGACCCTAAACGCTAAATCTCTAGAAGAAACCCCAAACATGGGCCCTAAACCTAAACGGCCCCCCTTCTGGGGGAATGGAGCCCTTTAGTAGCCCTTATAATAGTCTTCAAGGATAGTCCCCAATATTCATTCCCCCATTCACTACTAAGCACCACGGAGCCTCCTCAGAACCCTAAACCCCTATGGTATAACCCTTATAGTAACGCTTACAGGAACCCTTAAAGGAACCATTAAAGGAACCCTCTTCCCAGTGTAGAGCCTTCGAAGGGAGGAGGAAGCTCTTGCCTTGGCTTTGAATCGGCTCGGCGTCTTGGGCTGTAGGTAGGGGTTTCAGGGGGTTTAGGGTTTAGGGGTCTAGGCTTGTTTTATGGGGTCTAAGGGTTAGGGTTTAAGGGTCTGGGATTTGTTTTGGGGGTTTAGGGTTTAGGGGCTAGGTTTTGTTTTGGGGTCTAAGGGTTTAGGGCTTAGGGGTCTAGGATTCGTTTTTAGGGGTTTAGGGTTTAGGGGTTTAGGGGTTTAGGGGTTAGGGTCTAGACTAACAGGCTTAGGGTTTAGAGGGTTTTGGGCTTTGCTGAACAGATCATGGGACTTAGTAAGTGAGTATACGTACCTCAACTGACTGGGGTTTTGAGTCAAGTCATAACTACGGCTCCTGTACTCATAACCCTACTTGCTACGTCCCCGCCTCCTTTAACTTCAAGCAAGTTTTAGTACATTGAGGACGTAGGGTAGAGTCTAGATTTCGTCGTGATAAGGCTTGCAGGACTAGACATCTTCTTCGGCAGGGCAACCCATGCACAGGGTTATGAACGGAGACTACAAGTACAAGTCTGGGCATCGCACTGGCGAAACAAAGGAGGAACGAGAAAGAGTCTAACAACTCAACACGATCGGAACCTACAAGCCTAAGTCTAAGCCGTTAAACACTGTGCAACACACCTTAGGAAACCGGTACAAATGCCACTATACATCCTAAAACTAAACCATGAAGGGCCTAAACCGTGCGAGGCGCCATCCAACTCTGCGCCCGGAGGAAGAAGGAAACTTCCGCCGGGTCCCGGAAGCTCCGGCGGGAGCCTTGGTCTACTTGGAGGTTCATGGGTAGTTATACTAGTTCCCTTTAAGGGTCCCTTTAAAGGGATCTATAGGGATTCTATAAGGGTATAGGGTTTAAGGCCTGCGCTTGGAGGTTCATGGGTAGTTGTAAGTGGGGTTATAAGTCCCCTAATAATGGGTTATAAGTACAGTTACCCTACTTATAACCGTTCTTATAACTGCCCATGAACCTCCAAGTAGGGGTTTAGTGGTTACATCTAGGCTTTAGGGTTTAAGGTTTAGGGTTCTTTCGGAGGCTTGGGGTTCAGAGTTGAGTGTTCTAGGTTTAGGATTGTCGTGTTCAGGCTTTCCGGGTTTAGGTCATACATACATACCTGCATACATACATACATACATGCATGCATACATGCACAGACCTGAAAACCAACCTGACACGAAAACCTTATTGCAATCATAGTATAATGGGCCCCAAAACCCTCAACTCCACAACCCAAACCCCATACACAAGTTTGCGATGCCAGAAAACCTCCTCAAACTAAAACCCCTGCTCCTGCCCCTGGCCCCCCCCAGGCCCCGTCTAACCCCCAACCCCTGCTTCTGCCCCACCCCCACCCCCCGTCTGCACCCTCAAGCATCTACCACAAACAAAGCTTATACACCATAAACCCTCCCACTCCCACCACCACAACCCCCGAAACCCTAAACCCTATACCATCCCCCTCAAACCCCAAACCCTGAACCCGAAATCCTAAGCCCCTTAACCCCCCGATTATGCCAAGGGCCCGGCAGTGGAGGCAGCGGAGGCAACCCGGGCAACGGACCGACATCCTCGGGACGCTGGGCCTTTTCCTTTAAGGGCCCCTGTAAGGGGACTTTAGGGTTACAGGGTTGGGGTTTGGGGGTTTAGGGGTTTAGGGTTTAGGGGTTTAGGGGTTTAGGGTTAGGGTTTGTGACACGTTGAATGACCACAACGGCCCAAATACCAAATAACTTGGCCTTGGTTCCGGATATTAGGATTGGTAGGTGTGTGGGTGCTTGTGACGGTGTGCAGTCTAGAATGTAAGGTGCTACGGCGTTGAGTGAAGGGTGGGGTTACTGGATTCTTTGAGGAGTGTACTGGCTGTGTAGAGGTGCTTGGGGTATGCATAGGCCGTACAGGCGTTTGCAAGGTTTCCTTCGCCGGGCCCACATTGCAAAAATGATCGACGATGGAGCGCCCTGCCAAACCTGAAGCACAAAGTCTCAGCTCTAACTCTAAACCCTAAACCCTACTCCCGAAACCCTAAACCCTACGTAAAGGATCATTGGACTTGGTAACTAGGGTTATAATTAGTTTGGGTAACTAAACTCGGGTAACTAGACTGACAATCCCAATCAGGCTCCTTATAGCCTTACTTTCTAAGTCCCATGATCCTCCAAGTAATCCGTCCGTCAAGGTCGCTTTGTCGCTTAGGGCTCAGTGGTCAGGTCCGTAACTCCTTACTCCCGGTGTTTACTTGGATGATCAGGTTATAGGTACTTTAATTGGGGTTACAAATATAGTTACCCTAATTGTAACCCTAGTTACTAAGTCCCATGATCCTTTAAGTAAGGCTTAGACTACTCGCCGCAGCCATAACAGGATCCCTACTATAATGCTTTTTGACGAGAGAGGTTTCTTCATCAGGGCCACATTGATCGGCGTGTGTTCTGTTTGCTTGGGGCGGTAGGGCCTTGAAGCTGATTGACATCCTGAAGCTTGGTCTCTGAAGCTCTAGCACAGGGTCTAGAAGGGTTTCGGGGGTCTACTTAAAGGATCATGGGACTTAGTAACTAGGGTTACAATTAGGGTAACTATACTTATAAGCCCAATTAAGGTACCTATAACCTGACTTACTAAGTCCCATGATCCTCCAAGTAGAGTTTAGGCTTTGGGGTGTAGCGGCCTTTTCTTGTTGGGGACTCCCACTGCACCGGAACTGAGGCTCCCGTATGTAGGCCCCACAAGCGCGATTCCGGCAATCAGCTGCGCAATGCTGAACTGAGCCAGTGGCCAAGATGCCATCGAAGCCCCGTGGCGGCGTGAGAATGGGCTTGTCCTCAGAATTTCACAAGTTCCACAAACTGTACGAAAGCTCCAGATGTGGCCCACAACCCCTAGGACATCACGAGCTGGCATCACACATGTGAGGTGATGTGGACTCGAAACAAAAGGAATGCAGTAAGCATGCTACGATGAATCCGCAGCAGCACGACGTTAAAACCAGGCACACCACAACCTAACCCTGGAATCTTGCAAGGACCGAAAGGCTCAAGCCCGATTTCCCTAATCTGCCAAAACCCCCGTAGCCCGGAAAATCTCTCGACTACTTAATCACTGCGCCCCTAGCCGGCCAAAGGGCCTTTGAAAAAACACATCCATAAAATCCGATACCCTGAAACTTCTGGGAAACATCGTAAAACCCTAAACCACCGGAAACCTGAAACCCCAAGCCTCAACCTTAAGACGCCAAACTCATTGAAACCTCACCCTGAAACCCACCTCTCATACAACCCTCCCAACATGATACAAGCCCTGTAAGCCCCACCCCCAAACCCAAACTCTATAAAACCTCTCATTCAACCCAAACACCATCCAGAAGACGTCCTAAACCCGCGACCCTAAACCCCCGACCCAAAAAAAAACATAACAGCAACAAAAACGGAACCCCAACCCCCCCCCCCCCCCCCCCCCCCCCCCCCCCCCCCCCCCCCCCCCCCCCTCAAAAAAAAAAAAGCAGCCCTAGGTCTCCGGCTGCCGCTGCCCGTGGGTTCGGTGGTGGCGGGGCCTCCTTCCGCGGCGGCTCCGGGGGAGCGCTCACCTGACGACGAAGGCTTGTACATCTATCTCAACAAATGAGCATAAACGACTTTATCTGTATGTTCATATGTTTAAACCTGTACATCTATGTATGTGTCTGCGAGTTCATGTGAAACCTCGCACCAAGGGAATTAGCTTGGTTCAGTAAGCGTAGCAACGGCCATGCAAAGCTTGCAGATGCTTGCATAAAACGCCATGCATATCTTGCACATACCTGTGCAGCTATACCAACACCTTAAGCGGCCTTTACAAAGCTGGAAGCAGCCTGGAAATGAACAGCAGTAGCATGCGCAGCAGCGGGCGATCCTGACTTTGAACACAGCCAAACGAGACCCGATCAGCCTAACAATCAGATAATTCTACTTCTGTACCAGGCTCCCGGCCATCCGGGTCACGCCGGAAGAGTGGCCTGAATGGTGTGCGGTTGCGTGTGGTGTGGATTCTGATTCGAGCTTGATTGCTACGACAGTTTGTGCGGGGTTCTGAGAACTTATCAGGGTCTGTATCAGAATTACTTCTTTCATGAACCTCCAATATGCAGGCTGTAGAGCTTGAACAGCAAGGCGCACGAATTTCGGCTTAGGCTTAGGGGCTTTCTGGTTGAATGCTTCAGGATTGTCTCTCTGCGGGGGGCCTGGGAGCTAGGAGGCGAAGAAAGGCGGAACACCACATCAGCGTATGTATGGCTTTGCATGCGCGTTCCGATTCAATTCGTAGAACCTTTCTGTGCAAGCTCAGTGGCAGCTCTGCTGTCCATGTGAGCATTCCATGTCAAATGCGCAGCTTCGATGGGTGGGGGTCGCTCCGTGTACCTGACTTCAGTGCAGACATCGGCTGCAAGAGCATTAGTAACTATAAGTATAACCCATATCAGGGGACTGATAACCCCACTGATAACTACCCATGAACCTCCAAGGAGGCCCTAAACCCTATACACTCATAGAATCCCTATAACCCTTAATGGAACCCTAGGGTGTAGGATCTGAGGACTCCGAGCGGAAGGTTTCGGGCTTTTAGGATTAAGTCTCGGACGCTCGTCCGCTTCATCGTCCATCATTCTCCTGCGTGCACTGGCATGGAAGTACAACTACGTATTCTCAAACTTGAAGCCCGAAGAGGCCCGAAGCACATTATCCTGAAGCAACGAAGACCTGAATGTGAACGTAGCTTGACTTTACTGCGTGCGGGCGAACCCAAATTTAAGCATTAGAGGTACGCCCCACCTATTACAGATATAAAAAGCCCTTCCCCACTCTAAACGCGCGTCCAAACGAGGAACTTCCAGTACTAAAGTTGTACTACAACCTAGCACAATCCAGCCAGTACCCCAAACGAGGCACTTCCAGTACTAAAGTTGTACTACATCCAAGCACAGTCCAGCCAGGACGCCAAACGAGGCATTTCCAGTACTAAAGTTTGATACTAAAGGCGCTTGTGCAAGGAACTCATAATGCCAACTAGACCGCGCCCCAGCACCTTTATAGAGCCGTATGAAGCACAACCGGTTTCAAGTCAGTTTTTCCTGCACACAAACCCTGCACAAAATGGCTCTGGTCATCGCCTGAGCGGCTCAACCCCAAACCCCAAAACATCGAAACACTCGCATCTGATGCGCGAATTGCACGACGCTCGACCTGCCCAGCCATAGACCTGCAAAACGCCGTAAAGAGCTCGCGTTTAGGCTGCAAAGAACATCAAAAACCTCTAGAGCCCTCACACCCCGATACCTGAAAGCAAAACAGCAAAAGCCCAAAAGACTGACCGCCGAACGGAAAACTTCTGTCCTGAATTGTAGAGCCGCTTCCTCCCTCTTCTGCGCCTGCAAGAGGCTGGGACTTGAGGATTTAGGGTTTAGGGTTCAGGGTTACTTTTTGTTTAAGATCTGGGCTACTATAGGGTGTAGGATCTGGGCTTCAGGGTCCAAGATCTGGGCTGGAGGCCAGGCTTGCTTGAGCCTTCAAGCTCCGGGAGAAATAAGATCAAAGCTTGGATATAATAGACATAGGGTGTTGGAGCCCAATATACGAGATTGTAATAAGGAAACCCCAAAATCAAAATCGTCTAGGTAATTCTTTTAAAGCCGCTATACTAAACCCCTATAATAGCCCTTATAGTAATCCTTATAGACCCCTTGAAGAGGTACCCTTAAAGGAACCCCTAAGTACCCTAAACCCTAAACCCCCCAAAAACTATTCAAAGTCCAAAGGTCCGCTAGGCAGGTACGCGTTCAGGGGTTCAAGGGTTCAAGGGCTTAGGGTTTAGGGTTTAGGGTTTTAGGGTTTAGGGTTCAAGGTTTCAAGGGTTCAAGGGTTCAGGGTTTAGGGTTCAAGTTGAAGATTTTGAGTCTAGGATTTAGGACTTAGGGTTTGGGATTTTGAATTTAAGGTTAGAAGGAGCTTAGGATTTGGGGCTTCGTGGTAGTTTCGCAATGAGCGCCCCTGAGGACGTATGAGGGTTTCGGGTTTAGGGCAGTATGCAAGTACCCAGGCGCGACCCCCACCCCCCACCCCTCTCAACCACCCTGAAACCTAAACCCCCAAACTCTCTTCTCAGGCGGGTTGTTGCCATGAGCCCTAACATAGGGCTCTGGGGCCCAATATACTAGATTATAATAAGGAACCCCAAAACAGTAAAGGTAAATTTTAAGGCCCAATATACTAGATTATACCAAGGAAGCCCCCATAATCGCATAGGTAATTTTAAGGCTCCCTATATTACCCCTAAACCCTAACAGCGTGCTATCGGGTATGACGCATACTTCTGCTTTCGGCCTGGCGACCGACGCCCCTAGCAGGTTCCGAAACACCGAACCCGAAACCTTCATATCCCCACTGTCCCTCCCTAGGGCTCTACTTGGAGGTTCGTGAGACTTAGTAGATACAGTTATACCTACCTACCTTAACTGGGGTTATAAGCATTTAAAAGTATAGGTACCTTATTTATAGCACCAGTGACTAAGTTCCATGAAGCTCCAGGTACTAGACCCAAGAGTAAGCTAGGAATAAAAGGAGTGCTCTTTTTGGTTTAAAGGGGCTTATAACGGAACCTGAACCCTAAAACAGGAAATAAGGGCCTACTCTGGGTCCTAGGTTAGGGTCAGGGTTTCGGGTGCCGGGGGTTTCGGGTTTTCGACTTCGGCGCTTAAAGCGCTGGGACAACCGGCCTGCTCACTCGCCAGGAGCATCGCCTGTTGCCACAGAGTTGCGTTACTTAAAGGATCCTGGGACTTAGTAACTAAGGTTCCATAAAGGGTTCCTTAATTGGGATCTATAAGGGTTCTTTAAATGTATCTATGGGGTTCAGGGTTTAGGGTCTACTTAAAGGATCATGGGACTTAGTAACTGGGGTTATAAGTAGGGCAACTTTACTTATAACCCCAATTAAGGTACTTATAGCCTTACTTACGAAGTCCCGGACCCTCCAAGTAGGGCGGCACCGTAAGGGGTCTGTCGGATGGGTCTGAAACGGTATTATGTAGGGGGAGTACGCAGGGACATCTTACCGGTACTATAGTGGAAGACTCCAACGAGTTAGGCCTTACCTGCGGCTGTTTGCAGGATTTAAGGCTGCAGGGCGTTGGAGCTGCTTTCTCAGCTCAAAGCCCGAAAGCCTTTCAGCCGAAGAATCTCAAACCTGACCAAACTGCAATCTGAAATCCAGAGCTTGCAACCCAAACTCAAAGTCCCAAAGCTCAATAACCGAAAACCACACCAAAGTGGGAAACAGAAAACCAGATCTCCTTCGAGTGCGACCTCCTTGAACCCGCCGTAACTCCCATCAAAGCTTTGACATCCTACACACACAGGCAAAAACAACAGGTTTTTTGTTTTTAAGTGCAGTGGTTCTTTCTCCGCAAATCAACAGGTTTAGGGTTTAGGGCTTCGGGTTTAGGATTTACAGTTTAGGGATGGGAAGCCTGAACTGCTCTAAACCTGGGCGGGCGAACACCCACATGCCTAAAACCGTAAATACCATAAAACCCTGAACCCCAATACCCCAAAAGCCTAATGCCCTGCACCGAAAAACGTTCCGAAACCAAAACCGAAAATCGCTTGGCTGTAGAAGGATTATCGGGTCTGAAAAACGGTAGAGAAGAAGGCCCGGCAGGCTACAGCGAGTTCCGGAAAGCCAACAAAGAATTACCCGCCCCAAGTCCTAAATCCTAAGATGTCCCCCAAATGCTTAAGCCCTGAAGCGCTACCTTGTACTTGGAGTCGGCATCACTATCCTTCAGCAGGGTCCTGAGCCCGATTTCAGTCGCGGCTGACTCGCTCAAAAGGCATTCGAGACCCGACCCCTACTTGGAGGATCATGGGACTTAGTAAGTAAGGTTATAAGTACCTTAATTGGGGTTATAAGTATAGTTACCCTAATTATAACCCTAGTTACTAAGTCCCATGATCCTTTAAGTATCAACATTGAAGTACAACCTTACAAAACCCGCTTCTGACCCTTCCCAACGGCGACATCATCGTGGGAACATCTCACTGAGAAGAAACCCATGGACCAACAAGCTCGACACGCCAGCCAAAACTGCATACATTCCTATAAGGTACGGGTCTTGACCGTTAGAGGAGGTTCCCAAAATCCGCTTTGCTGAGCCCGAAACCCCAAGCCCTATCACCCCTACGGCTGATGATATAAATCCTGCATTACCCATTATAAGTAATATACCATAATTCCCATAGCCTAGGGTGCTCAGGGTAATGCAGGATTTATATTATCAACCACCCTATAAACCATGTACACCCTATAAACCCTTTAAGCCCTCTAAGCCCTATAAACCCTATCAGCCCTATAAACCCTATAAGCCCTATAAGTCCCATAAACCCTCCAAGCCCAGAATCGACCTATAAACCCTATAAGCCCGATAAGACCTATAAACCGTATAAGTCATCAACCGTATCACCCCTACTTAAAGGATCATGGGACTTAGTAACTAGGGTTATGATTGAGGTAACTATACTTATAACCCCAATTCAGGTACTTAAAACCTTACCTACTAAGTCCCATGATCCTCCAAGTAGGCCCCCCTTTTTTGTCGACCCCTTTTTGTCGACCCATCACTCAGGGCCAAGGGCCAGGCCCCGTCTCCTCCGCGAAGGACAAGCGGCTGCCCTCGGGGACCTGGCATTGTTCCAAGAAGGGTTTATAGGGCTCATAGGGCTTAGGGTACGGGGCTTAGGGTATTAGGGTTTAAGGTATAGGGCTCAGGGTATGAGGGTTTGGGTATAGGGTTTAGGGTATCGGGTTTAGGGATTGGGGTTTGGGGTGTAGGGTTTGGGGCTTTTGGGTGTAGGGTATAGAGTTTACGATTTCGAGATTAGGAAATTCAAACTGTCTTTTGGCTTTCAGGGCTTGGAAATGAGGAGGACCCTAAACCCTGAACCTGTGCTCTAAAACATCTTTTTTTGGTGGTTGTTTGGATATGACAGCTTTTGACTTCGTCGGACCTCACATAAAAGGGAACTGCAAGCTTGTTGAGGGCTTCTGTGGGGGTGATGTAACAGCTGGTGCCTCAAAGTCGATCAAACATTGCTTTTTTGGTCGCCGTGGCACCTCAAGCCTCAAGCCCCATTTCATAAACCTCCAAACCCCAAGAACTCAGGTGGAAGGCGGAAACTGTAAAACTCTAGGACACCTATGGGGCCCTCGGTAAAACAAGGACTTCTGCACTTAGAGCTGCTTGAGGTTTTGGGGCTGAGGTTTTAGGGCTTCTGGGTAATATAGGGGCCTTGATAGTTAGAATAGGGTTTCGGGGTCCATTATACTATAACTATAACAAGGAGCTCCCAAAATAGTGGTAATTATTAAGGCCCCTAGAGTATTTGAAGGTCGAGGTCCTTTTTGGGATTTGAGGGTTAAGAAGGGTTCCGAGGGGTAAGCATGCCGAAACCCAAAGCAAGACTGGAACACAGGGTGGAGGGTATAGATTTTCAGAGAGTTCGGGATTTCAGGGTTTCGGAAAATAGGGGATCTTAATATAGTACCCCAAATAGTAGGATCCTCAGAAAAAGGATCCCAAAACAAGATACCCCTAATTTTTGGAAACTCCCATTTCAGGGTTCCGGAGTTTACTGTACTTACCTTTGGTTAGTAGGGAATGGAAGAATGGTAGTAACAGTAGTTATAATTGTACCCCATTCCTCCATTCCCTACTAACCAAAGGTAAGTTATAGGATTATTCAGGTCCCTATATTATAGTACCCTAATAGATCCCTTATAGTAACCCTTCTAGACCCCTTTACAAGGCCCCTTTACTCCCCAAACCTAACCAAAGGTAAGTGTAGGGTTGAACCGCGAAACCCGGGATCCGGCCTTCATCATGGCGCTGCCGAAATGCAGGTCCTCGGTTTAGAGTTTAGGGTTTAGGATTTAGGGATGTTTAGGGTTTAGGGATGTTTAGGGTTTAGGGTTTAAAGTTCAGGGTTTGAGGTTTAGGAGTCCATCGATAACTTTTCGGAAGTATTCTGAGTCCTGAAGAGAAACGGTACGACCACGAGTGCTCCTTAGGTTTGTAACCTCTGGCAGCAGCTCCCTTCTTAGAGGATTGAAAAGAATAGATTTTAATGTTCAATCGCCTCAGAAGCCTCCAAGCACTGCGGAAACACAACACCGAGCGCTTCCCCTGAACAGTCAAGTCGCGTCTCAGAAGCATGAAGCACAAGCGACGGCTTTTCAACATTGTGGGCCTTGTTGCGCAAAACGTACGAGATGAGATATTCTCGCGGAGCCCTAAACAAAAACCCTAATCCCTTAGAATGGAATCAGCCACGCCCACCTGCTTCTTCTTGACGCCCAAAGCCCAAACGATAAAGTTGCCAGTGCCGCCCCTAATGCTAGACCTGACACCACTTAATGGATCATGGGACGTAGTAACTAGGGTTATAATTAGGGTAACTATATTGAAAACCCCAATTGTGGTACTTATAGCCTTACTTACTAAGTCCCACGATCCTCCAAGCACAGGCCTAAACCCTTCACCTTAAATCCTACGCAACTCTAGACCCCAACCCAAAACCCCGAAACGCTCACACAACCCGCATGCAAGCGCTCTTGTGCCGGCCTTTTCCCTTGCAAAGCCCTTCCAGGACCAAATACCTTCAGGCTGCGCTCCGGCTTTCTCAGAGCCCCACGTAGGCCACGTTGGCAGAATGCCTGCACCGCAGAGTTCCACACTTCTGAATGACATTGTGGGTTTGGGTTATTTTTTAGTTTTGGGCTTGTGAGTGTCGGACTTAAACGGCTCATCATATCACTGGGAGGATTCTGGTAATGGCGGCATACGACGACGACGACGACGACGACCGCAACAACAACACCAGAAACAACCAATCCTGCACAGTAGGCATCAGGCAACAGCCGTCGAATTGGGAATAAGATGATGACGGTCATGACGACGGTGATAGTATGATGGGATGGAATGGAATGGAATTCAGGATGCTCATGATGATGGTGACGATGATGACAATGGTGATGAGGATGGCGATGATTACGATGACAAGAACGATGATGATAAAGAGACTGATGAAGAAGAAGATGATGATGACAAGGATGATGACGATGCTGAGAAAGATGATGCTGATGCTGTTGTTGGGGATGAAGATGAGGATGAAGATCGGTGGAAAGGCCCTAAACCTTAAACCGGCCCCCCCTCCAGACAAAAGAACAGGCGCCTGAGAAAGAGATGAAGCGGCTCCCCAGGCGTGGCCCCCTCTGCCTCGCTTTCCACATAGACAAACACCTCTCAGGCCGGGCAGCTCTTGTGTGTAGGGCTTACGAGGCTTAGGGGTTCAGCGATTCAAGGGTTTGGGGTTTAGGGATTCGGGGGTGCATGGGGATGTGCCGGGATGTATGGTATTTAGGGTGTAGAGATTAAGGTTTGCGGATTAGGCTGTCGGTGTTAACATGTGTTAACATATGAGGGTCGATGTACTTGAGGGGTTGGGGCACTGGATTTAATCTTTTACGTCTTTTCCTCTTTGGAAGCATCGGCGTGCCCTTCGAGTCTGTTGGCAGCTATGAAATTTGTAACTAGCAGCTAGCTTGCTCATCCCGATCCCAAAGCTTAAGCTTATGTCAGAAAGTCTATACCCTGAACCGTAAAGCGTAACCCTAAACTTTCTGAAACCAAAACCGAAAGGGAATACCGGTCTGAATGAGGATACGAAGCCGAACTGACATTCATACAAACCCGCATCGAAACTCTAAACCCTGGTAGGTAGAACACCAAAGCCCTAAGCCAACAAACCGTAAACTCTAGATCCAAGAAACCTAAACCCCAAACCCAAAAAGACTAAACCCCAAACCCCAAAAGCTTACACCTCAAATCCAAAAAAAGTGTACTATAGAAGAGCAAAAAACACGCTCCAAAGATCATTATGGCCGCCCTACTTTCCACTCTTCAACCGCGCTTAAAGGCAACCTCCCAGATGAAATCTGGAAAAAAAATTAATATAGAACCAAGTCGTCTAAATAAACTGAATCTAATAAGAAAATGCTTTGTTCATATGAAATATAATACTCTAAATTCTTCAAGATTACAATCATATCTCCTTCTAAAAATCGGTGCCTAACCAGATACTAGATAAAAACTTATAATATCTTGCAATTGCGCCCCGGGTCCACCTCCACTGCCACTATCCGCAACCAGCCAGCGCATATGAACAGTAGTGTATAAAATATCTACGTGTCATGATTTTGCTGTACCTCGGAGCAGCTAGTCAAAATATCCAGGGTGAAGCAACCCCTCCAGGGCAGCCAGAACGAAACGGATGTACATAATCATAGGTTCTAACAACGGAGAAGCTCTGTGTTGAGTGCTGCGAACAACTTGCCATTCTATGTCTGAGGTGCTGACAGAAAACCACAACTTTCCAATCAACTTTCAATACGAGTCTACTACTCAATATTGGAATCGAGAAGAAAGTTAGCCTGGCCTATGGGCGCGCAGTGCGCAGCCTGGACCAAAGCAACTTTCTCCACCCTCCACGTCCCCTGTTGTGGTCTCCTTCTTTGCCCCTCATCGAATGTGCCGTCAACCGGTTCTCTTTCATTCTGGCCGCAACTCTGGCCAAACAGGCCTCCCGCCGAACCCAAGGGTCCCAGCACACCTGATCAAACCTTGTGCTGGTCCCCTCGCCGCCCGTGTTCTTTCGGACCCTGACACTCATGATCTTCCTCTTCACGATTCTGTTGCCAGGGTCCTGCGTTTGACTCGGACCCACAACCCAGCGAATCATGTTGCCAGCGTTTGAACGAATGAGTCCTTCCAAACTTTGACGATTTTGAAGTCGCGATCTAGCACGATGAAGTCGTTCCGGTCCTGGCGGCCGTAATAATTAGACTGGGCTTCTGGGTGGGTTACAATAAGGAACCCTCCAAAATAGTATAGGTAATGGTTAAGGCACCTATATTACCAACCCTAAACCCTAAACCCAAAGTATTATATATTATAACTACAACTATAATAACAAAGTGGTATAGGTAGTTATAATAAGGCACCTATAACTATTACCTAAACTTAAACCCCTAAACCCCTAAACCCCAAACCCCTAAACCCCCGATAAACTCTAAGCCCTAAACCCCAGACCCTAAGGGCAGGGCCCTAGTCAGCAAAAAAAGTCACAAACACAAGGGGCATAGAACTCCAAGCCTCCAAACTGGCAGTGCACGTTTTCACACCGGGCCGCGCAACATAGCTTCCCGGTGTTGCTGTGCTTAAAAACGGGTTTCCAGACCCCGTCGTTGCCGTGCACCCAACGAATTTCAGTGCGAACTTTGCTGGATGCCTCGACGAACTGTGCGTTGCGAGGCGGGTTGCCATAGAACCTGTTCTCCGGTGCGGGGCGGGGGAAGCTGTGCTGGGCTGGCGGTGGCGGAAAGTTGTGCGGTGCCGGCGGCGGCTGTGCCCACCCTGCCGGGCGAGCGTCGCCCCACGTTGCTGGGCGGCCTTTGCGATGCTGTTGGACCTCTTCTTCCAGGCGGTCCCACATTGCTCTGCGTTGCTCCTCTTCATCTTGGAGGTCGGCCCAAGACTGCTCCTGCTCTTGGCGATGCCGTGCTTGATCAAAATCGTGGTAGCTCCAGCGTTGCGGTGCCTTGCCGCCCTTGCCGTGCGGGGCCGCATAAGTCGGTGCACCATGCTGGGCGAAGCCCTGAGCCAACCAGGGGTCGTCATCCTGCGGAGCCGGCGGTGCTTCGGAAGGCTGTGCGGTGCGGGGCGGTGCCGATGCCGAGGCACTTTGCATTGCCGTGTCCAGGTCCATGCGAAGCTGAGACAGCTGGTGCACGGTCATATTGCGGAACGCACCGACCCGTGCAGAGCTGTCTTCCTGCATCAAAATCTGCAAACACGTTGCCAAGCTGGACATGGCTGTGCAGTGCTCTGTGCAACGCGGTGCAGAAAACGTGAGCAGGGCGGGCTGATCTCGAGAGAGGCGCTGCGAAAAAAGACCGAAAAGTTGTGCAAATGCTATGCTGCGAGCAAGTCAGCAAAACCTGTGCGGGCAGTGCAACCCAGAAGACAAAGGGCAAAGCTGTCCTTGCCGTGCGAGGGCGGCCCCGAGCGGGAGCAAGTAGGTAACCATGCCGAGCCACCTGAAGAAAGAAGGCAGTGCAGTGCAAACCTTAAGGAACCCAAGTCTGAGGCCGAGACTGTGCTGTGCGTGTACAGGCGGTACCTGCGCAGAGCAAAACAGAGCAAGTGCGTGCTTCAAAAAGGAAAAAGGCCACAGCCGTGGCCGTAAGGGGGCATCGCTCGTGCCTGGCGGTGCTCCATCGTTTTATGCGAGACCTGGCCCGAGGCGGGGCAACAGAAAAGGCGAAACGAGCAACAAACATGCGGCTGTTACGGTGCGGTGCGCGCAAAAATAATTCTTTTCAAGGCGTGCGGTGCTGTCAAAGAAAATCAGTCAGAGCTCGATCGCATGTTGTCGACTCAAGGCTAGGCTGTCCTATGCATATAATGACTGGTAGGGTGTGACCCCTACGCCATACCAGTGCGGGGCGGCCGTGCAGCAACATGAAGTTTGGCCGTTGCTGTGCAGTACGGGTCCTGTGCCAGATCATACCATCGACCACCAGTGCATTGCGGATGTCTTCGTGGCTGATCCGTGCCACGATGCGGAACCAAGCGCGGAGGTCCTGTGCGACACATCGTAGCGATGCGCGCGGTGCAGTGCCAGGCTCCCCTTCCGTCTCCTGCGGTGCCGGACCCGAGGTCAAAGCTGAAACAAAACGGCAGTGCTGTTGCCACAAAACGCTGCTGTGCCAATTTCCAATAATGCGTTGCAGAAGTTTAGCCCGGGCAGCGCGCCAGGCACTGTGCAGCTCGATGCGACGCACCTCTTTGCGCGAGCGTTGCGGGCCCAGACATAGAATACCGGGCGCAATCATTGCGGGTCCATCCGAAAAAGTCGATGCCATGCTGAGGGACTCCTGTGCTTGCCAGTGCGTAAGCTGTGCGGGGTTGGTAGCGCAACTCCAGGCACTGAAGAAAAATTGCAAGGCTTTGCGATCATGCCAACCATCGGCCAGCCAGAGCAGTGCGATGGAGTCGGATGCCGACGAAGCCATGCTATGCGGTGCGAACACGAAGATATTGCAATGCCACAGTGTTATGCAAATTGGTTATAAGTATGCGGCGATCCCCGGGCGTGAGGTCCCAGGTCCCTGCCATTCGTCTGTGCACTGTGCTATGCATGAACGACAGTGCTTTCCTATCGGGCATCTCAAGGAAGCGAAGCAAAATGCCAGCAGAGCGTTGCGACAGAAAAATTTCTGGCAAACCTCCTGAAATGCACTCTGCGGTGCCAGGGAAGTCACTGCTCAAGTGCAAAAGAGCCTCCACGAGAACGGCCGTGCTGTACCGAGCAGGGGGCGGCTCTGGAGTAGCAATGCGTTGCTTCTTGTTGCCCTGGCGGTGCGACATTGCCAAAAAGGAACTCTAAAGGTAGCTGGCTGGAGCTAGTCAAGTTCGTGTAACTCAAAGCCAGGCAATGCGTCAGGCAGAACATCCGTGCATTCAGGGAGGCCCTCAATTTGCACAATGCGACGCTCAAGTGCACGAATGGAACCCCCAAGATTTTCGACACGAATGCTAAGCTCGTCTATGCGAATGTGCAACTGCGTGGCACACTCAAGAGTGTCGTGTGCAAGCTCCTGAATGGCCTTCACGAGCCGAGCAGTGCGAGGCGAATCCGGAGGAGCCAAGGAGGAGGCCATGCGGGGCAAGGCCAAATGGCTGCGGTGCTGTTCGAAAGCTGCGCGATGCAAAATGAAAAGCCAGAGCGCTTGAAAAAGTTTCTGTATGCATGCGGGGCCGCGGCCCGTACAGCTGTGTTTCTATGTTGCGTCTGTTGTTTGAGCAACCGGAGCGGCGCGGTGCTTATCATGACAACACACATAGAAAACACTGCTGACTAAAAATACAAACGCACAGCGAGCGTCTTCGGAAGTGCTCCCTGTCCAAGGCTCCGTCCGCCAGTACTCCTCATGCGACGTCGCAAAACTGTATGCTCTGTCTGACTATGGCGCGCCGTAGAAACACAAATGTAGGGCAAATTTGCACTACAAAATCTACGGCATGCAACCTGCACTAGATGTTAACTCGGTACGAATGAATCAAGCCCAAAGGCAAAAGTCAGGCAATTTTGCACTACAAGTGCTGCCGTTACAGCTTTGATCGTCGCCCTGTGCCCAATTGGTCGAGCAAGTCTCGGACAGCTCGGCATTGCGAAGGCGGCCTTGAAGGTAGACCGCCTCTGCACGCTGCGCCAGCGGCAACCCTGCCAGCCAACACCGGGGCATGAGAGAGACGGGGTGAAGCTGCAAGCATCCAAAGAGATCCTCGACTTCCACCTGAGCGGGATATCTGGCGTCGGAAAAGGAACAGAACTGTTGCAAGACATCTGCTAGAATCAACATGAAGTCGAGAGTCCTGTCCCTGCAGGATCTCGAGGCTTCCAAAAGCCTCTTGCCACCGAAGCCCCCGCTCCGACTGCTGGTCGCCGCAGGATAGCTGCAAGGGCGCCAACGTACGGAAATTCAGCCAACGACGAAAAGACTTGACGTCCAGCGACGCCACCCTGCCTGCGGGCTGCGACGGTAAAAGAAAAAGGCGGCTCCTCTTCCCAATAATTACCAGTAGCAGACGCTGCCTGCACGACAGCGCGTTGATGTTTGAAAGGGGCCTGGTTGCAGCACCAAGTTGTCTCGCCGCCCTAAGCTACGGACACCTGCTTCCAGCAAAAGTCGCCGCACCATGTAGAAGGCGACAGACTCCGCGCAAGCATACAACCGGGTGTACTTCACTCCACGTGCCAACATCCGCCGGAGCAAACTGCCGTCGACCTTAGAAGCGATTCTTGACGCGTAGCCCAAAGAACTCGCATGCGACATAAACTACATACAGCAAGGAACAAGCCAGCAAAGAAAAAAGCGGAGGTGGACATCATGAAAACCACCACAGGCGTAACTCAACTGTCTGGCGGCGAGAACTTCCGCCTCCTGGCTGGCGTCGCGGCGAGCAAATTGCTGCCGACACGTACGAACAGCCCCGGCGTCTTCGAACGTCGGCAGCTCGGCCTGCGCCAATCGTCGGTTGATGCATGCCAGCCGAGCGAGACTGCATTGGGCATTCGACTACAGCACCTCAGGAACTCGGAAGCGACAAATGTGTTCGTTCACAGACTGCCAGCGGCTTGGAGACCCTGGTGCCAAGGCCTGCTTTATGACTCGGTCGGTCTCCTCCACGGCAGTCTTTCGTCGCCTTCGGGCTGCCGCCGGTCGTTTCATTCCACAGAGCCCGGCGAACCTGCATCAAGGCTGAAATGACAGCCAACGTACATGCATGCACATGTGACGTTCCACTCAGCGACGACTTACACGCCATGTGCCAGCTTTTCTTGCCCACGCGCGAATGCAAACATTCAAGTATCTGGACCTGATTGATCAGATACCCCATGGCACACTCGGGATCCTGTCTAGCAAGGAAGACCTGTACGGACGGGAAACAGAAGAAGCTGTGTACTTCAGCAGAAGGATGCAGCGCGAACGTAGCTGAAACAAAAGCTGTCGACCTTGCTTGGGACCGAGCATGAAGTAGAACATAATTATAATGGCACTGCCGACCGCATCGGATCGGAAAGGAAAGCAGCAGCGTGGATTAATTAGCGTCAGAAGTCTTCAGCTAGCCCATTCACACCAGACACGGAGCGAGGCCCAGCATTGCGAAACAGAGCAGCGCGTACTGAGCTTTCGTTCGTCACTCGAACAGCAGCCTGCGCTTGACTAAAGTAAACACTCGGTAGGATCCCCGAGCCTGGCACACTTGGAATGAGCTGCAACGGGCTGACCCTGCTTCAAGCGGAGCGGAGTGACAGAACACATAATGCTGCATAGCTAGCATACAAGCAACAAGCAACCTGGACCGCTCGCAAAGGCACCCACATTGAACCCACGTGCTTGCATCGTTCTAGAGTCTAATCTAAGTTCATGAGCAGCTACTATTATTTATAAGTGGAGCTGTCATAGACGTAGCTCCTAGCGTGCGAGCGGGGGATGCACGTGGGACGATTACAAAACTGAAGCATGCATGACCTCTCCCGGCTCCGGACCTTCCTGCTATACGCCTCAGGTACGCGTTAAAGATCCTAAAGTCCTAAAGACTCTCCCGATGCTGGGACAACCAGTTGGTTAGCAATTCTGCTGCCAACGTCTTCAATGGAGCCACCTTGGACAAGTCACACAAGCGGCGTACCAGCTTGCCGATGTCGGTAGTCTTGGCCTCCGTGACTGTGACCGCCTCGCATTTGCATGAGCTCAACGCCGCGAAAATCGTCTGAAAGCCTGCATCGGGATGCAGATCCTGAACGATACCAGCCAAGAGCCCGCGCCGGGCCATTTCCGCCGCGTTCACACCATCGTTCACGCCACCCTCAGCAGCACCCTCATTGCTCGCATCACTCGCACGGGATGTCTTGGCTTGGTTCTTGTCAGGCATGACCTCTGCCGAAGCTGCTGCCTTTTCTCGCAGGCGTTTCAGCCAGCGAGCCGTTGCGGAGGCTGCAATGTCCATGGCCTTCTGCCATGCTCCTGCCGACGGTAGCTTCGATCGTGACACCGGTTTGTGACGACGTTGCTGCAGCAGGTCTGTCGCACCAGCATTCGAATCTCGACGAGTGAAATCACGAAGGCTCCTGGGGTTGGCTTCTATACCAGCTGGCAGTCGATTAAACATCTGGGGAAACATGCAGCGAGGGTCTGTGACAAGTTGTACAAAGTCAGTCACAAGCTGGACGCCTAGACACAGCCCGATGACAAAATAAAGCATTCGCCCCTTGCGACTCGGCCTGAACGCAGGGTCTGCGCTCAAGCAGAGGTACATTGCGGCGGCTCCGTGTCCGCACAAGGTGCGCTTCACAGAAACTGGGCAGCTGTAACGCACCCGTTGCAGGAGCGGCTGCACCATCAAGACATCGTCCGCATTAATGATCTTGTTGTTGAGCACAGACACGAGGCGAAGGCTCCCAGGAGGTTGTGCAGACCTGCTCATGTCCGCGGGTAGGGACAGGGAAGCATTGGTGCGAGGGACCAAACAGAAGCATGCCAGAAAAACATATGAAGACCCTGACCTGAAATGGAGAGCCTCTGTCCATCGGCATGCCAGAGAGCAGGCTCCTGGCAGATGACAGCTTTCACTCCATTGGCCGCAAGAAGGGCTGCGACAAGATCTGGAAGCTCATCGATGCCGTCAAGCTGAAGGTTGGCCTGCTGCAAAGGAAATATGAAGAGCTTGTCCAAGTTGCCCAGGCCCGCAGCCATTGGCAAAGGTCGGATCAAGAGCAGAACACGGATAGGAGACTCTGGGAAGCCAAGAGCTGCGGTAGCGAAGGAGTGGAACATATATAACAGATTCCATGACACCGCTTCCGTGGTTTACTCAAGACATGCGACTTGCCGCAGGGCAGACGGGCCTTCTGGAAGTTCATGGGTGCCAGCAAAGGCCAAAGGCTGAGGCGGCCAGGAGTAAAACCACCTGACCGGAAAGGCAGCGGCGCGGTCACAGCAGAGGGCCAAGCAGCGTCGAGAACCCCCAGTGCCTCGCTGCAGAAAGCAGAAGAAGCGAGGAGCAGACCTGACAGGGCTACAGAGAGGGCTTGAGCAGGGGGCGAAAATGTAGGGCTATGTAGCACTACATTTCTTTGATTTTCTGTCGATGGACATGTGCGTGAGTTTGCTGTCTGAGAAGCAGCAAAACACAGAATCCCCCCCTTTTGCCTGCGTCCCACTGCAGCAGCCGTCGAAGCGGCCACCGAGTAACGGCAAGGAAACCAAGCGCAGAGCGGACAGCCATGTCCACACTTTTCGAGAGAGACAAACGAATAAATGCGACCTGACATGCAAGTCTTTGCAGGGTCGAATGCGTGCCGGGACGTGTGTCTGTTGTTTCGAATTTAAGGCTCTGTTGTTTCTGACTCGCGGCCTTGCCGTTTTTGACTCCAGGACGGCTGGCTTGCGATACCTGTCGGCTTTTTTTGTGACTCGCGGCTCCTCGTTTGCTGACGCGTTTTGCTGATTGGAGCCTCGATTTGCTGAATGACGCTGCTCTCCAGACCCTAAACCCTAAACCCTAAACACAACCCTAAACCCTCAACCCGAAACCCTAAACCCCTAAATCCTAAACCCCTAACCCCCAGACCCTAAACCCCTAAACCCCTATAGATCCTTTGAAGGAACCCTCATAGTACCCTTTAAAGGAACCCTTATGGTGCCCTTTAAAGGAACCCCTAGGAGTGCCCTTTGAAGGAACCCTAATAGTGCCCTTAAGGAACCCCATACCAGCCCCGGGCCTCTCGCAGGATCTGTCCTTCGGGATGCTGCGGCGTGGGCTTCGACACGGTCGACTGCCAAGCCATGCGCACCACCTCCTCGCTGACCTGGCTTTGGGGGTTTGGGGTTTGGGGGGTTTTGGGGTTTGGGGCTTGGAGTTTGGGGTTTGGGTTTTTTTTTAAAGTGCAGTGACGTCCTTTCGCCCGCCTCACTCGAGGAGTGCACTAAAATGGGTTTGGGGTTTGGAGTTTAGGGTTTAGGGGGAGTTTAGGGCTTAGGGCTTTGAGCTTAAGGTTTAGGGCTTCGGGTTTAGGGTTTAGGGCTTCGGGTTTGAAGTTTAGGGCTTGGAGTTTGGGGGTAAGGGTTTGGGTTTGGGTTTGGGGTTTAGGGCTTGGGGTTCAGGTTTGGGGTTTGGGGATTAGGGTTTAGGTTGTAGGGTTTAGGCTTGAGGACTTGGGGTTTAGGGTTTAGGGCTTTGGGTTTGGGAATGGACGAGGGTTTGCTTTTCAGGGGGCGGTGTTTATCAGTTGTCTTAGAAGGGGGTTGTCTTTTGCAAGGCTTTAGGATAAGGGCTTGCAGTATGAGGGCCTTAATAATTGGAATGGGGCTTTGGGGTATATTATACCATATTTATAATAAGGAACCCCAAAATAGTATAGGTAAGTGTTTAGGATATATTATACTAGAACTCTATTAAGGAATACTTATTTAGGCCCCTATAGTAGTCGGCCCAAGAAGCCCCGGGCTTAGCATGGAATCGCTGCGCACGCCAAACCCTTACCGGCACCCGGAGGCCCGACATCAATCCCCAGGCCTCACTAGGGTTCCTTCAAAGGGGTCGATAAGGGTTTCTTTAGAAGGGGTCTATAGATGGGTTATAGGACCATGGGACGTAGTAACTAGGCTTATAATCAGGGTAGCTATACTTATAGGGTACTTATAACCTTACTTACTAAGTCCCATGACCCTCCAAGTAGGGGTCGCAGGAAGCCGCAGTAACTGACATGTCCCCGCAATGATGTTGTTCAGTATAATATAGTATGGCAGCCTCCGTAGCTAGAATATGCTGCTGAGATATACTGTACTATACCTAAAACCGGGAACCCGAAGGAATGGTATCAGCAACTGCTCCGACCCCTACTTGGAGGGTCATGGGACTTAGTAAGTAAGGTTATAAGTACCCTATAAGTATAGCTACCCTGATTATAACCCTAGTTACTACGTCCCATGATCCTTTAAGTAACCATAGTTATAACCCATCTATAGACCCCTTCTAAAGAAACCCTTATAGACCCCTTTGAAGGAACCCTATTCCACAACAAAAGGCCATTGTCCCAGAGGCTGGTAAATTCCCATCTCAACCCCGGAGCGCTGTTGTGCCTCGTACTCTCCGCGAGCCTTGCGGTAGATTGTAAGCCACTCACCGAGATGCTCCGGAATCTGCCTGCGACTAGGACTCAGTGAGGTGGGTTGCTGGCGTGTGTTGCGTTTCAGGTTTAGGGTTTAGGATTTAGGGATATTGAATATGGTTTGGGCCATTTCTGGGTCTGCGAAATCAGCGCTTTATGGTTTAGGGCTTTGCAGCTCGGCCAACGATAGGAGCCATTGAGATCCGACAGCTTAGGCATACCCCCATGATAAGGACCTAGTAAGGCCAATTTAAGGAAGTATAGTCCCCTGCCCCCCTCCCCCTTAACCCCCCAAAGGGTCCCTATGACACAACTTTACTCGCAGCCAGGAGTGAGCTTTGCACAAGGTGCAGATACGAGCTGTCAGCAACTCCCCATATTACACTACACTCCGTTTGCAACAACTATGCCTCATCCCTTAACTTTCAGCCTCGGATGTACGCTCAGGACATTCCACACTATGGACCTCCGATGTAGTGCGAAAGAGTGTAAGTAGCGATAGACCTGATTACACAGAGTGCCTGAACCCTAAACCCCAATACCTTAGAAGCTGCCCCCACCCTGTAATAGTGACTATAAGGATTAGATTAGGGCCCTATTATACCACTATTGCAGGGTGGGGGCCCCTTCCAACCAATACCCCAAAGGAAGAATCCTTGCACTTCTCTGCTTTTCCTGGCAGCCCTCCGCCGCACCTGGCAAAGTGCTGCACCTGCTGGTCGATGTCGTCTCCGGGCACGGCCTGCGCTGAGGGGCTGCCTCTGGCCTTACTAAGATAGGGTCCCTTAAAAGTTATCATAAGGGTTCCTTTAAGGGATACCATAAAGGTTCAGTACAGGGGCCTTAAAAATTAGAATAGAGCCTTTGCAGGGTATAGTAACTATACCATAACTCTAGCAAGGAACCCCTCAAAATGGTACAGGTATTCAAAAAGGCCCCTATATTAGTTGTATCCGGCCCGTTCTGAACCAAGATCCCCAAAAGGGCTTTCGAAACTCGGTTTGCTTCTGCAGGGCTCTACCGGGAGGTTCATGGGTAGTGATAAGGGTTCCTTTTGAAGGGTCCCTTTAAAGGGATCTATAGGGATTCTATAGGGGTATAGGGTTTAGGGCCTACTTGGAGGTTCATGGGTAGTGATACGTAGGTGAAAAGTAGGGTAACCATAATTGCAACCCATAGTGGGGTACATATACTCACACTTACAACTACCCATGAACCTCCAAGTAGAAGACGCCTGATGGTGCGTGGGCAATATGAGGGGCCTTGATAACTAGAGTAGGGATGAGGGTATCTAAAACTAGAATTACAATAGGAATCCGAAGGAATAGTGTTCTTCGTCACTTGGGATTTTTGTGCATTATATGCCGGATTGCGAGTTTCAATGAACAGGGCGATACGCAAACCTACAGCAACTCCGGATACCTTACCTGTACCCCTAGACACAGGGCCAAGCCCCAAGCCGTAAGTCTCCTACTATAGGGGCCTTCATAATAAGAATGGGGTTTGGGGCCGATTATATTGTAATTACAGCAAGGAACCCCAAAAATAGCATAAGTAATTATTATGGCCCCTATAATTTTCCCTGAACCTTCATGTGACTGGAGATCGAAAGCTCTCGAATCAGAGACCTGAGCCAGTCCACCCGCTTGAAAAAAAAATGAGGGTTGTAATGTTTAGGGTCTAGGGTTTAGGGGTTCAGGGGTTTAGGGCTTTTTTGAGCTCCTTTTTGATGTCTGCCCATACTTACGAGCATCCAGGGGTTTAGGGTTCAGGGGTTAGGGTGTACGGCAACGAGATGGGGACGTAGAGAAGGAGAAAAACATGTTGTGTCATGAAACACTAGCCTGAAGCAAAGACCAAGATCATCAGCTATTGAGCATGATACGGTACACTCGAGTACCACAGCAGCATGACCCCGAAAACTACAGGCCCTGAAGTATGAAAACGCAGTCCCACATCCTCCGAACTCTCCACGTGGTAATGTAAATGCACCCTTCCCTACAGAGTAGAACGCTATCCTCAACCATGGCCATATATCCCAGTCTGCTTTGCTTTAGATGCGACTTGCTCTACACTCTAAGCCTGCTTTCTATAAGCATGGGACCTTCGTCCATAAGCGAATTGTGGAAAAAAACGAACATGATCATAGAACACTCTCTACTTCGTCGATACAAGAACCACCTGCGAGGCCTGAGCCGTCGACGCGCTTTAGGGTTTTAGGGTTGAGGGTTTTAGGGTTGAGGGTTTAGGGTTTAGGGTTTGGGGTTTAGGGTTTAGGGTTTAGGGTTTTGGGTTTAGGGTTTAGGGTTTAGGGTTTGGAGGACCCGCCTCGTACTCCAGGGCAGACATGGGCCCGCGCATCTTCAGGACCTTGTTGAAGGGCTTCGGTCAGGTTTGAGGCTTCTTGACTTAAAGGGCTCCCTTAAAGCGCTCCTTGAAAGGGTTCCATAAGGGCTACCATAAAAGTTCTACGATAGAGGGGCTTTAATAAGCAACACAGAGCCGTGGAGAGGCATTCATCCGTTGATGAAAGTGTCGTTGAATAGTCCTCGTGTCGTGGTTGCTTGTCATGCCCCTGGGAGTTAGGATCAGGGGGACCCTCGGGGATGTAGACCCTCTCAATAACGTCCCTTTTTGAGAGCCAGAAGTAGGGTTCGGAAGGGGTACCCTTTAAGGGGTCTCCCTCATCATGCTACCCGCCCCCAGAGTTTGGCTTTCGGGATCAGGGCTTCTGAGGGGGGACAGCAATGGAATAGGGTCTGTGACGCTGTCGCAGCCCCTTGCGACAAACTTAGGAGTAATATAAGGGCCTTTATAATTAGAATAGGGTTTTCGGGCCCATTAAACTAAAACTAAAATAAGGAACTCCCAAAATTATATAGATAATTATTAAGGCACCTATAGTACCAGGAACGATGTGGATTTAGAGGTCAGGGTCCCTGGAACCTCACTGAAACCTGCAGCCCCGGCACCCTAAAGGGTGCAAAACCCCCAACTCCCCAACTCCGAATTTAGGCTCTTGCTCAAGCCTCATCATGTGTTGCACCTACTGAGCCTCTGAACGCTGCAGCCCTTGCACGGTTTAGGGTTTAGGGTTTAGGGTATGACAAACATAGAAGGAAAACCTCTGAACCCCTGAAAAGCCCTCATGAACCTCCGACCTGAACCCTGAACACTGAACCTGCACGTATTACATAAACAAACTTTTAAAAACTGCACACCCCCAGTCAAAGCCACTGCGTACGAATGAAAAGTAAACCTAACCCTAAACCTAAACCCAAGCCTTAGCTTGGCCCAAACCGCTAGACCCTAAACCCCTAAACCCCAAAACCCCTGAACCCCTGAACCCTTAAACCCCTAAACCCTAAACCCTAGGCCCCTAAACCCCGAAACCCAAGCCTTAGCTTTAGCTAACAAGCAATGCCCTAATACTGAACTTAGAACCCTAGCAAAATTTAGAATTTTAGCTGTTTCTTAGGGATTATAATAACCAAAAATTAAAAATTAGTTCTAAGCACCCCTAAGTAAAGCCGACTGTGCCTCCTCCTTGGAGCTGGCAAGGTGGCCAAAAATGCCTTCAGGAGGGTTCAGGGTTTAGGGATTAGGGTTTAGGGAGACGTACGGAGAGTGTTTGAAGGGCTTCCTTACAGGATTCCTTTATGAACTCTCTAAGGGGTCTCTTTTAGGGCTCTCTTTAGAGGATTCCTTTACTAGTTACTAGGATACCCAGTAACCTAAGAATAAAAAGGCCTCTCTTTTTGGTATTGGGTAACTTTATAAGGAACCTAGGACTACAAAAAGGGAATAAGGGTACTACTGGGCATCCTAGTTTATGAACTCTATAAGGATCTATATAAGGGCCCAGGGCTTCGCGGTTTTAAGGCTTAGGGTTCCACCTTTCAAGCCTTTCAAAAGAAACGACTTGCACCTCATTTGACATGCAAGCTTTCAGATCCTCTTTCGTCTGTGGCAGAACGTACAAGTGCCGCTGTTCCTATATGTACTATTCTTCACGCTTCTTTCTATCTTACTTTAGACATATCAACAGCTTCCAAAACTAAGCGCCCGCGTATGGATACTACTCTGCGGAATGCCTTACCTTTGGTTAGTAGGGAATGGAGGTATGGGGTACAATTATAACTACTATTACTACCATTCTTCCATTCCCTACTAACCAAAGGTAAGATGCAAGCCCGAAGTCGCAGTTTCTCAGGGAGCGGGCTCTTCGGCTGGCTCTGTGCCAGCGTCCGCCTCTGCCATTTGTACTGCTCTAGCCACGACCTGCCGATCCTCCGGATAGGCGAAGAAGACCGGCACGGTCAATACGGTCAGAAGGAGCCCGAGCAGGATATGCGATGCAGTGACGTTGGTGTCAGGGGTTTCGTCCCACCAGCCCATACCATTGTGAACCACAAGGTAGATGATGTCCAACACGGCCAGGTAAACCCCATAGAGAAAGACGTAAGCCTCTTCAGGAGCAGGCCAAGGGCTTGGCTTCGGGTTTTCCTGGGAGGATCATGGGACTTTTCGAGTAAGGCCACGAGCAAATTGAAACTTGACTCATACTTATAAGCCCTCCTGGCTGTAGTTGCCTTACTTGCGACACTGTAAACCTGCTAAACCCGGGATCGCTAAACCCTAAACCAAAAAGTAAAGCCTAAAGCTTAAACCCTCGTCGGGGCCTCGGGACGTACGATGTCGCTGAGCATTTTGCCTGCCACAACAGGGAGCCAGGTCCAAGTCCCGAAAGCGCCGAACGCGAGCGCACCCGGCCTGGTTCGGAAAGGAAGGCTTGAGATTCCTTTAAAGGCATCTGTTAAGGGCTGCTATAAGGTTGCTACAAGGAGTTCAGTAACTGTAATTGGCGTGGGGAAGGATAAACACAAAGGTGGACGCCACTAGTACTAGTGAGAATAACATCAAAGTGTAGTTACTCCAAACAGCTTTACTGCAGAGGGATGCCTAAATCTGCGTGAAAGCCCCGCTTGAAGGTCATGAGCCCCCAAATATGGGCTAGAGTTATGCTCAGCCTGCGTATAACCCAACTTCTAGCTACTCATGAAGCTTCAGGAGCCCGACCTCATCAGAAGCCAGCCGAGGAAGCTTCTCCGCAATATGTCCAAGACGAAAAAGCCGACGCTAATCCTGGGCTTAAACTTCTATTTCATTCTGGTTCCCATTGTGTAATCCTGGGCTTAAAGTATAGACTCTGATTTCATAGTGGTTCCCTTTTAATTTTAAGTAACAGGGCCTCCAAAAAAGTATCAAAGTATAGTACTCCAAAGCCCAGAATCACGATGATGGGAAGGATGGCAGTGGCCTTCGTTGCTTTTTACTGGTGCTTAGTAGGGAATGTGAGAATGGATGCCTATAGTAGTCCCTATACCGCAGTAGAATCCCCAATGCTAATCCCCATAATCCAGTCCCCCATTCCATAGTCAGAAACAGACAGTCGTTGCCGTGCTGGGTCGGACAAACTGCGTGGTTTCTTTCGGAGGTGTGTTTGTTGTTGGGCCTGTACTTGGTGGATCATGGGACTTAGTAAGTAAGGCTATAAGTACCTTAATTGGGGTTATAAGTACAGTTACCCTCATTATAACCCTAGCTACTAAGTCCCATGATCCTTTAAGTAGACCCTATAAATCCCCTCTTAACATAGAACCCCTATAGATCCCCTTTAAAGGAGCCCTTTAAGGAACCCTAGTTGCTAAGTCCCATGATCCTTTAAGTAGACCCTAAACCCTAAACCCCATAGATACAATTAAAGAACCCTTATATATCCCTTTAAGGGAGCCCTTTAAAGTATACCCCTAGTTACTAAGTCCCATGATCCTCTAAGTAGGGTAGCTACCCTGCCGATCTGTACCAGAAGCCGTCTGACAATCCCGATGACAGCTTCAATTTAGCAATAAGAGTAATAAGAGTAATATGAGTAATAAGAGTAATAAGAGTAACATGAGTAATATGCGCAATAAGAGACATATGAGCAATAAGAGAAATATGAGTAGTAAGAGTCATATGAGTAATAAGAGAAAAATGGGTAATAAGAGTAATATGAGTAATAAGAGAAATATGAGTAATAAGGGTAATATGAGTGAAAAGAGTAATATGAGTAATAAGAGTAATAAGAGTAATAGTGATAATAGTTAGAATAGTATTATTATTACTATGAAACAGTACTAATCGTAATAAACTCTCTGATCAAACGGCTCCTGACAAACCCCACCAGGAGATCTGGAAAACTGCACTGTGTTGACAATGCTCAGTCTAGATTATAACAGGCAGCATCCTGAGCCGTCGTAGAGCTATGCTACGGCTCTAGAGCAACAAGGATTCACGGTGGGAACTACCATATACATCATAGGGGTGCGAACAAAGAACCCAGAACGCTTTCCAAGCAAATCAGAGCCGCTGTGAGAACAGAAGGAGGGCCGGTGACGGGGCTGTTTGAGTCAATGCCGTCCAAGGCAACGCCCCCAACGACTGCAGAAATGACTTTGCCGAGCCCCAGGTAGGTCCAGACCACCCTTCGATACCCAGGCTCAAACCAAAAGAGAATCTGGGACGCCAATGCCACGCTGGAAGCTTTCAACAGACCTGGACTCAGTTTCAAGATGCCGCACTAAACTGTGGCCCGCATCTAAAACGGACCTTGACATCATCAGTCGAAACTGAGCCACTTGAGAAGACTGGCGATTTGTGTGCAAGCTGGTCCCAAGAAAGTAGATGTGGCTGCACATGTCTAGACTGGAGGAAGCTGGTTGGGAGAATCTTCTCTACACCCTGAAGCCGTCGTCTCTTGATGTTGGAAGCCTCATCACAGTCTGCGGCAAATACTTCTAATAGGCATATCGAGAAACTTGCTAATACCTCCGCAGTGAATACAAGGGTGATCAGAATTTTCACGAGAGCAGTACTGACGTGAATAATGGCCTCATATGACACGGTTGAAATGCAACCCTGTTATGGTAACCGTACTGTAGTGTCAGCACGTAAGGATCAGGCTGTTCAGCCACGATGCTGATATCAGGTTAATGTACGGCTTGGGGCGGTCTTTCTACTAACATCACCACACTGCTCATTAAGGTATTACAAAGACGTCGTGCGAAGTGCCGTTGCATGCCCCTGGCAGTGACATACTGTAAATATGAGTTTTCCATTACTGGTGCAGCGTCTTCTGCTCGTACATAAATGCAATGAGTGCTGCAAAGATATACTGTGTCACCAGCACCACCACCACCACCACCGCCTCCACCGAACTGCAACGCTGACACACTGAAGTTTTACACCGGCAGGTGTTATCGCACTGCATGGCTGCATTGTTGTGGTGTGAACGAGGCGAAGTACCATATGGGAGTTTCGGAGAGGACACGAGCAATCTATCAGGTTGCTCTTGAGACGGACCCCTATCGAAGGTAGCCTCAACCCCAAATAACCTACCTGTTTAAGGACTTATATAAAGAAATCATACTGGGTAACCCTAAAAAGGTACTCTTTCGTTCTGAGACCGCATGGTTCTGTCTGGTTTTGCTTCTTCCAAGACAACGGCTCCAGCACTGCTACGCTATTCTGGCGTTTGGCAGTGCACTGCTTTTTGAATGTACCGTTTCAGCTTCACTAGTTCGGATGAGCATCATACGACATATTGCTGAGCCTCCTGCTAGAAACTCGTATTATTGCTTCGATACGGTACCCAGCATTGTACTACATGTATTGGAAGTCTACCATCTTGAGATATCCCGCAGGTCTAGTCGTCTTTGCACCACGACCGATAGACTCTCAAAACACTCAAGGCTGGAACATCCGCATCCTTCGCAAAAGAAGCCTAAACCAAGAACCTGAAAGGCCTGCTGGGACAGCGAGAACCCAGAAGGTGCGACGCCCAAGGATCATCGGAAGGTTCTGCCCCGACTTTCTGGAGCTGTCGGTGACCCTCCAAGCACACCTCTTCGCACACAGACGGTTAGCTGACTAAGCTTGAAGTCATACTATAGGAATACTACATGATTCCATAACAAACATTTTCCCTGAAGGCATGCAAGACACATGGCTCCCGTGAGGATGTTGAAGCCGGAAGCAGCCAATGGCCACAGCCACATGAGTTCTTGGACGCGAAGGAAGGGATTTTCACTCTGAAGAACTTTTGAGAATAGACTCCTTGGTAATAAACTCTTGCCATATCTTCTGGCTGAACACAACTGATCAACAGATGCTGGGGTTGAGCATCCAAATGAATCTACCAAGAATAGCCTTTAAGCCAAGACACATCCCGTGCAGAAAGCCGAAGGCCGCGCCCCGGCGTTTAGCTTCGCTCTTCTCCATCACGAGGCTCCAAAGCAAAGGCTGCATGAGACCCGAACCCACTCCGAAGCTCAGGGAAGCCAGGAAGAGCAGGAAGAAAGCCATTCCGGAAAGAAAGTATGACAATGCGCAGGTGGAAAGTCCCACACTGATTGCAATGGAAGCGCCCAAGATGAGCATATTCCGCGGCACATGGTGTCCTAAGAAGCCAGCAGCGGGTGCAGAAATGATGTGGAAGATTAAGACCATCAGCCGCCACTCCTTTTGCCAACTGGCGCCCCGCAGGTGGTAACTTCCTCCCTGCGCCAGAAAGAAGGACCAGCTTTCCAGAGCCAGCTGCGAAGCAACGACTGCCGTGAAAAGCGCCGCCAGTTCCTCCATGGGCCGTGAACCTCTGGAGCTTTGCAGAGGTGGCCCAGACGTTTCTGCGGTGCCCGCGTCACGGGAGGACATTTCAACCATACTGTCCGACATCGCCAGAACCTTTTGCCTTGCACTGCAGCACTGCAGAACACAATTGGTCTACAGGATACTGCATCATCCTCGAGCATCGCACAGGAGTTGTGAATCAACACGACAAGACATAACAAGGCCGGGGATCGAAAAGCTGACGCATCCACCCTGTCGCATAGCAGCGCCGAAACCCCAAACTCCCAAAAAACCTCAACTCGAAACCCAAACTTCCAAATCCTGCTGCCCTTAAACCCTAAACCCTAAACCCGAAACCCTAAACCCTAAACCCCAGAACCCTAAACCCTAAACCCAGAACCCTAAACCCTACACACTCTAAGACAAGCCGGGCCTTGGAAACCCTGCTGAATCGTGGCAATGAAGCCACCGTCTTTGGATGGCAACATCTGGCAAGGGGGTTTTTAGGGCTCGGCTTAGAGATTAGGGCCTGGGGGGATTTAGGGTTCAGAGTTTAGGGAATAGTAGAAGAGGGTTTGGTGGTATGCGGTACAATGTACTACATTTGTGACAAGGAACACGAGTAGTGATTATTCAGAGTCGAGGGCTTGGGACTTTGGGTGTCTAGCGATCTGGCTTTGGAATATCAAAGTTTCCGAAAACAGGGGACCCTAGTATAGCACCCTAAATAGTAGGATCACTATTATACGGACCCCAAAGTAAGATACCCCTAATTTTCGGAAACTCCCATTTAATCAGCAATATCAACTGTCGCGGCTGATAGGAGTAGTGGAGGTAACGGTGCTCGTGCCGGTACTTGTTCTCCTACTTCGTCTTCTTCGATGTCCACAACTTTCTCCGAGTTCTACGCCGTTTACGACTTCTGCATCTACACCGACATCCACCCCTCCCCTAACATCTTGCTAAAACTACATACTACTCACTGCTGACTACTCTACTGACCACTGGCACCTGACTGCTGACTGTTTGCTGGGACGGCGGCTACGACTGCTGCTGCTACTGCTGCTGCTGCTACTACTACTACTACTACGACTACTACTAATACTACTACTGCTACTACCAGTAAGGGAGCGAGACCCCGGTTCAACACTGCCAGAAAAACCCACAGACGCAAATGCCGCACCAGTCACATGACATCGTGTCGTCAATATGAAAAGTAGGTGCGGGGGCGCGGGGTTGTGGCGATGGGCGATGTCACTAGTCAGCATGTTGGGTGATGCAAGATTTCCGACAGTCACCGTTGCACACCGAAGACCGCATGAAGCCACCTGAAGTCTGTCAAAAAGCAACTGCGAAGCCGCGAAGCAAAGCCACCCCGGGTCTTAAGTATTCAAGGTTTCTGATGCACAACCCAACAGCAACAGCCAAGATACACCGAACACTAATGGCTGCTTCGATGTCGTTAGAGCCTGAAGCCTGAAACTGAGCCCCTCCACTAGAGTCAAAGGCAAGAACCAGCGCGCCATCAGCAAACCATCCTTCTTTCGTCCCCATTCCGAGATTTCCAGGCTTCACGCACTGATATTTCCTCCGTCTTTGGACTACGATGTTTCGAAACGCTGCTCTAAATGTAGCTCTTTGGATCATTGAACTTGTCGTCAAGCTTGTGACCCCTGCTCGCACCTTCATGGGATTTGCGCACTTCCGTTTTCTAGTGTTCTGTCTATGTTGTACTTTGTTTCGGATTTCTACTGCATAGTGATCGTCGAATTCGTGGGCGGTTGGCATCCTTGTGTCGTTCGCCACCATGGGCCAGTGTCGCTGAAACAGCCTGTACCAAATCCACACGCAGGAGTAAGCACCTGCGATTTCTAGGCAACAACTTCAACACTTCCTGGACAGAGCATCATAGAACCCAAAATAGGTCGTGGATCTGGCCCTGCAACCAGATCACCCAAGCCCTGCATGCCCCGACCTCCGGCCGCTCTTTCACCGGCTTCTGTGCCGCTTGCGCGACCTGTGCTGCCGCAGCAAGTGACGAACCGCGCATGGGCGCACGTCTAGACACATACATGCATACATGCATACACACATACACACATACACACCTACGCGAAACACATGCCCATAAACACTCATATACATATGTAAGTGTGTGTTTGTGTGTGTGTGTGTGTGCGTGTGTGCATGTGCATCTGCATGTATGCTGTAACTGTACATACACGTATCTGCATGCATACACACATACAGCAGAGCGCGCACAGGATGTCCACCACCTTTACCTGCGTAGATGTGCATGTGTGTATACAGCGACTATATATGTATATGTATGTGTGTGTGTGTGTGTGCGTGTGTCTGTGTGTGCGTATGTACATCTGTATGTATGGCAGTCTGGATGCATGTATGTATGTATGTATGCATGTGTGTGCGCAGGGGTGTGTATGCGTGTATGCGTGTGTATATGTACATGTGCATACGTGTTCCTTTTATGCATACTCATGCATGTCTTGGTTGATGTATTTGACTGCCTTTCTGTTCATTTATTCGCGTCCCTGTCCTTCTATGCAGTCTCACTCAGATGAAAACATGCATGCATTCTGACTCTGATGAGTGCATGCAGGCGTGTGCACCTGCATACGTTTATGTGTGTTTGCAAGAGCTTATGGACAGCTTATACATATACCTACAGACGTCTGTACAAGTGTCAGTCCATGCATGTACGTGTATACAGTACACACGAATGAATCTAATATCAGAGAAGACCCGGTAGCAATCGGTGCCACTGCGGAACTTGTATACAGAAGGAAATTCAAAAACCCTGAACCCCAAAACCCTGAACACTAAACCCCTAAACCCCTAAACTCGAAACCTTAAACCCCTTAAACCCCTTAAACCCCTAAACCCCTAAACCCCTAAACCCCTAAACCCTAAATCCCCCCTCAACCCTAAACCCTAGGCCCCCAAGATCTGAGACCGGCGACTCCCCTCTTCAGGAACTCGCTGATACCAGTTCCAATCTGAGTGTCCTCGGGGTTTAGGGTTGAAGGCTTAGGGTTTTGGGTTTAGAGAAATTGTATAAAGTCTTATATAACGATATATATATATATATATATATATATATCTACATATTTATATATATATATATATATATATATGTATATGTATTTAAGTAAGGGTTCAGAGGTTAGGGTTTAGGGGGATCCGATATATAGGGGCTCATACTGTATCCCTGAGGGGATTAGGGTTCAGGGTCTAGGGGGGATGAGGGGGGTTCTAAACAAAAACACAAAGCTAAAAGAATACCCTCGTCGTAAGAATGATCCTCTAGAGCCCTTAAACACCCTTTTAAAAAGAATTTTCGCAGAATCGCAGAAAAATGGTATCTTTAAACAGAATTTTCGTAGAAACAGGCATCCGTCAAGAAAGCAAGCAAACAGAAGGGGATAGGCCAGATAAACAGACAGATCCTACCAATGAAGCCATGAGCACCATCGTTCTTAAAGGATCATGGGACTTAGCAACTAGGGTTATAATGATGGTAACTATACTTATAACCCCAATTGAGGCACTTATAACCTTACTTACTAAGTCCCATGATCCTCCAAGTTTAGGGATATAGGGTTTAGAGCTCAGGGGTCCGTAGAGTAATATAGGGGCCTTAGTAATGAGGATAGGGTTTTGGGGCCCATGATACTATAATTGTAGTAAGGAACCCCAAAATAGTATAGGCAACTAGTAAGGCCCCTACAGTGAGAACATGGCTGGAAGATCGCTGCTTCTACACGTCTTTGAGCGTACTGCAGTGTTGTCCTTTTTGGGGTTTCAGGGTCGCCCTAAGCCCCAACACCCCTAATCCGCCTAAACCCCTAAATCGCCTAAACCCCTAAGCCCCAAACCCCTAACCCCTAAGCCAATGAATTCCTAAACCCCTCAAACCCCTAAACCCTGAACCCCAACTCCAGAGAAATTGTCCTCCGGAGCCTTTCCGGGAACCCGAAACTCCGAACCTGCCCCTAAACCCGAGCCTACTTCAAGGATCATGGGACTTAGTAACTAGAGTTGTAATTAGGGTAGCTATACTTATAACCCCAACTAAGGTACTTATAACCTTACTTACTCAGTCCCATGATCCTCCAAGTATGGTGAATGCCCAGCCCCACACGCCAACAGAAGTAAGACTAACTCATGCAGGGGCCTTGCGCATTCAAGTCTCGCGGTCGATTGTACTGATGATATCTCAAACAAATTTCGAAGTCCTGAATTCGATACACACATCTCGTGCAAATTCCAATAGATCCACGGCGGAAAGACTTGAACACTACTAAACCCCCAACCCTACTTCAAGGACCATGGGACTTAGTAACTAGGGCTATAATTAGGGTAACTATACTTATAACCCCAGTTAAGGTACTTATAACCTTACTTACTAAGCCCCATGATCCTCCATTATAGAACCTTATAGATCCCTTTAAGGAGAACCCTTATAGATCCCTTTAAGGATCCCTTTAAGGAGCCCCCAACTCTAGACCCCACCCAAATAGTTGGAGCCCAAAACTCGAACCCCTAAACCCCGAACCCTAAGGTGGGGTACTATAGGGTTCTATAATAGGGCTCCTTAAAGGGATCTAGAGGGGGTCTATAATGGGAGGATCATGGGACTTAGTAAGTAAGGTTATAAGTACCTTGATTGGGGTTATAAGTATAGTTGCCCTAATTGTAACCCTAGTTACTAAGCCCCATGTTCCTTTAAGCTATAAGCTGCATGGCGGCACTGTAAAGTCCTGAAAGGAGCCTGTAAAAATCCTGTAAAACCCCATAGGAACCTTACCAACTCCGTTCCAAAAAAAGGCTTCGGAGGCCTAGCAAGCCCTCTAAGAGCCCTCTCAAAACCCATAAGAGCCCTCTGAAACTCTAAACCCTCAACCCTAAATCCTGAAGCTCAAAACCTGAACCCCAAACCCCAAACCCCCTCTTTACCAAACAATCATCGAGCTCTCCTCGATCCTGGGGCCTTCTGCAGGTGGGATCCTTCTCGAACCCTGGCCTGATCTGCAAGTGTTTTTTTTTTTTTTGCGGGGGGGGGGGGGGGGGGGGGGGAGGGCTCC